TTCCTTCTTGTGAAGTGTTTGTGTGATTTGTACTATTGCGCCGTATTTCTACGTTGAATCAAATGAATATAATATGATTCTTCACTACTTCACTTGACTAATGGCGGTGTCCCTGAACCTTAAAACATCACAATTGACATTTTCATAAAATTAAATCAATAGTTTTTAATTTCAACTGATTTCAACATAACAAATGGCCGAAGCAGCAGTGGAAGAACGTCCCAGCCAGAGATTTTACTGTCACATCTGTAATGTACAATTTCAAAATGCGTCAGCTGTGAGTACCAATAACATTCTAATCAATTTTTATTACATCAACATTTTCTAGAATTTCACTTGTCCACACTGTTCTGGAGGTTTTATAGAGGAGCTCGAAGCCGGAACAGAAAATCCTGAAGGCATTGTTGATGCATCTGATGAAGATGAACCTTATTATGTTAGTTGTCAACTGGAATATTATTGAGTCATGAGTTTAATATTTTGCTGTTTGTTAGATGCTGCATAGTTACCCCATGGATATTGCCGATATTATTTTTGCCCCTGGGCCAGAAGACCATCATACTGGACAAAGATTTGTTAATGATGCCATAAGGAGAAGGTATGCTGTTCAGACACATCCAGGGATTTTTAGACCGAGGTTTGAAATAAACATTTTTAATGTAATAATCTTATAGCAATTTATTCTGCATGTTTAATTTTTATATTCGTTAATAGGTTTATATTTTTTTAATTCAATGAATTTACCCTGCAGTTGAAATTGCTTAGAAATAGGTACTATTAAAAATGATTAAATTTAGTAAAATTGTAGTCCTAAGAATATTCATCTTTGCTTTATATGCTACAGTTTCTTAGCAAAACTAATTTACAAATCGGTACCATGTTAACAAATTATTTTTGTTTTTATATTTAGTTTTAATTTTCTTGAGATAGAATAATGCATTTCTATTTTGATTTTTTCAAGATAGTTCACATTAGTAATTATAAATGAATAATTCTATATATTCTACTTTAACAGGAGTTTTAGTAACAAATATTTTCCTAAATGATACTAGTATAAACTATAACAGTACATTATTAAAAGATCAGTGCCTTGACAGAAAGAGTAAAAATATAACTATTTGAAGGCTTAATATATATAACT